GTCCGCCTTACAGTCTTGCCAGAACACTGAAGCTTCTGAAAGGGTCGGGTTGAGCCGTTCCCGTCTCCGGTCTTTGCTGGGGATATCTGTCCTGCTCTCTCTCTCTCAGCCCTCTAAGGCTTCCCGCTTCGGGCTTCTTAAGCTGCTAGTCCGCTTGGACAAAGCACGTCCCGACAAGCAAACCGGAGCAGTAGCCCTGACAAGCCGAATGCCTGGGTTCAGGGCTTTAAGGGTTTTAGGGTTTCTTAGGGTTAAGGCTGTAGGGTTTTTATAGGGTTAACGAATTGAGACCCTCAACGCTGACTGCCCTTAGCCTCTGCCCCTCCCGGATGGTCCGAGTTGTGCGCCCCGAAACCCAAAACCCTGAGCCCAACCTGAAGGGTAAACTCAGCAGGTCCTCCTGAAGCCTCCAAAACCCTGCACCCCAAAGCCAAAAGCCTGCTTTGAAACACGTCGCATGAGGAACCTAATCAAGAAATTCAGGGATCGGAGCGATAAACTAGGATCCATCCTCAGAACGTACTTTGAGTTGGCCCTTCCCAGTTTCTGCTGAACGCTAGATAGCCCCAAGTTAAGAAGGATTGCCTCAGGTTGCTTCGTCGCTCTACAGCAGGATAGTCGGATTGAATCATCACGGCTTTACCTAAACCCTAAACCCTAAACCCTATAAGCCCTAAACCCTAAACTCTATAAGCCCTAAACCCTAAACTCTATAAGCCCTAGACCCTAAACCCTACAAACCCCTAAACCCTAAACCCCTAAACCGGGCTTCGGGGGACTTAGGGACCCGAACCTTGAAGCCCGAGAGTGTTGCCCGGCCCTGCGCTCCGAAACTCTGAGCCATAAATCCCCAAAAGGGCCCCCCGAAACCCTAACGCTAAACCCTGAAGCCCTACCTGGACCCCAAGAATCCTACCTTTTAAGGGACTTACAGAAGTTAAAATCCGATTAAGGAGCCCCTAAAAGAGCAGGTTTCTGAGGGTTTTAGGGTTAGGGTTTCCCCTTTAAGGTTTCTGAGGGTCCAGGCAAACCCTAAACCGTCGAAGCCCTAAACCCTAAAACCTTCACCCTAAACCCTAAACCCTTAATCCTAAAACCTAAACCCCTAAACCCTAATTAAACCCCTAAACCCTAAAACCCTAAACCCCTAAAACCCCTCAACCCTTGTCTGATCAGGTCATTCAGGGCTTCGTGTCCTCAGCAGCGGGCGACGGGATCGATGCTGACCACGCGCGGGGTCCCAGAGAGTTTAGAGTGCCAGAAGGGATCTATGAGGTTTTTTGGGGCTTTTTTGGGGGGTTTAGGGGAGAGTTTAGAAGGGATCTATGAGGTGTTTTGTTGGCCCTTTTTTGGGGGTCTAGGGTTTAGGGAGTTTAGAGTGCCAGAAGGGATCTATGAGGTTGTTTTTTTTCCTTTTTTGGGAGTTTAGGGTTTAGGGCCTAAGTTTAGGGCTTTTGGGGTTTAGGGTTTAGGGTTAGAGAGCTTTGTGGTTTCTGGATTTGGGTTTTCACGGCGTCGGTCTTCAGGCAAGATCATAGGGGTTAGAGGGTTTCGATTTCTACTGTGTCCAGGGAGCACCATCCTCAGCAAAACTCGCCTGAACTCTGAAAGCTTAAAACACCCCGTAGACAGCAATTGCGGTTCCCCTCAAACACCTGGATTCAGAGTCCGTCGGTTCCCTGGCTGGTGCACCTCGACTTACCCAAAATCGTCTCGTATGTGGGCAGTGCTCCAGGTCCATCTTTCGATCCCCGAAGACTGCTTCGATGCGGTTTAGGGTTTCTCCAAGAGAGCGATGTGCTGCGGGGGGATTTGGCCGGGCGTTCTCCAATCAAGCCTGCGGAAAAGGGTTTAGGGGGATGTGCCAAAAATGGATTCGGAATTAGAGACCAAAGCATGTGCAACACTGAGCCCCACATCCGAATAAGAGCAACCCCAAATCCCAAGCAGGATTTTTTCGAGGAAACCCGTCCCTTTCAATCAAAACCCCCGATGAATAAACCCGAAACCGTCCCTTATAGAAGCCTTTAAAAGGAAACCTCCCCAGCCCAGGTGTCAGAGGTCCAGGTGGCTCTGGGCTCCACCTGCATCTTCGAGCGACGAAGGCCCTGGGACGTTTGGGAGCGGGCGCGTTCTACTGTTGGTTTCGGAGAATTGGACGTTTGGGGTTTCGGAGAATTAAAAGTTCCTTTGTAGGGGGTTCTTTGCGTGGTACTGGGGTCCCTGACTTGGCATGGTTTCTTTTCTGTTCAGGGTTTATTTAGTAGCGAACCTTCAACTCTAATTTTATTTTACCAACAGATCTTTTGCCCCAATCCAGACAACACAGAGACGCCGTCAACACCGATACAACCCCCTCGCGGGAATGGGCAAACTCGAGAATCTCTAGAACCTATGAAAACTGACTACAGACTCTACAAGCAACAATAATGGGACTTGTCACACTCCATACATAGGGGACCTTGCTATTGTAAGACCCAAAAGTGCCGCGCGTTGAGCATGACGCCGTTACCTACATCGAGAGTGAGCGGCGATCGACACCTTCAATGCTGAGTTGTTCCTACACGTTACGGCATTTCTCAAGTGAGCAGGCACCAGCTTTGAGCGCTTGAACCCTGACCCCTAAACTCTAAATTCCATATTGCAAATCCTAAACTCCACAAACCCGAATCTCTCAACCCACCATGCGGGCTCGTCCTGGCTAGGTGTGAGGCCAAAATTCCCTAAACTGGCCTTACCTCGCCTGGCTTGTCCGAGTTGTGAGGGCGTGAACTGGCCTTAAACCCCAAACCCTTTAGGTAGCCAAGAGCTTGCAATGCTTCGAGCCGACAGAAACTAGGCCGCCCTGGCGTCCGCCTGGAACCCTCAGGCTCACATTGTTGTCATTGTTTTTTGTTTAAATGTTTCGGGGTAGATGCTAGATGTTCGAGTGGGCCACTGTAAATACTGTAAGGATTCTTACAAGGCTGCTAGGGGAAACAATGCTGAAGATTTTAGAGCTTGAGTCTAAGGGTTCAGGCTTTCTCGATTTCGGGAGGTGTTTAGCCAGTAGTGCTGCAGATTTGCCTGGCCCTCACTTTCCTTCCTTCTTCAGGGTACCCGGCAGTTGCAATAGGCCTGGATGCGGGAGGTGTTTAATTCTGTTGAGTTGGAATTCTAGCCTCATTTAAGGGTCGCCAGTTCTTGGGGTCAGCGCTTACAGCTCAAGGTAGAGGGTTTGAGTCGGCGTCCAGGTGTTAATATAGAGGCGATAGGGCCCTAATAATTGCCTATATCATTTTGGGGGTTCCTTGTTCTATTTATAGCATAATTGGCCCCCAAACCCTTTTCTAATTATTGAGGCCCCTACATTAGGTGGGATGTAAGGGTACAAAGAAATTTTCAAGAACAACGAAGGTCGACCACACTGCTGGCTTCAAGAGTGTGAGTGTGAGGGTTGCTGGTAATGTAGTGGTTCGGTGGTCTCGAGATTTTGGTGGCTGCTGTAGTGGCAGTGCTGGTGGTGGTGGTGGTGGTGGTGGCGGCGGCGGTGGTGTTTGCAGTGGCAGTAGCAGGTGTGGTCAGGATACTATCAGTAGTAACATGCAAAGTCCCAGGCAGGAAGACTGACTATCCACCCCCAACCCTAAATGTCCCTAAACGCACGCTGAGCAAGAATTCCGCTTCAGACGCCTCCTCCAGAGGCGTTTGCAGGAGCAGCTCTCGATCGCTTTTGCCCGACACACAGGAAGTGCTTGCCATGGATCAGGGCCCAGCAGACTACAGTTCAGGGCTTTGCTTGTTTTGCTTGGTGATCTGGGGCTTAGTCATGGTCGTGGTCCGATCCAGTCCTGCCCAACATGATCCCCATCACGCTCAAGCTCCTACGAGGTATTGCCCCCTTTGTTGCCAACCTTGCCTGAATTGACCGAACTTGAATGCGACTGCACACAGTTTACGGCCGCAAGGCGATGCGAGATTTGACTGTCTCCCTAAGCCCTGAAACGGTCTCAAGGGATTATGTTAGGTTTTGCTCTAGCAGAAACTAGAGCCAATACTACTGCTATTAATTAGCGATAATTATTTCTATTATTGTTATTGCAATTTTCTTGTTACTATTATTAATATTACTACTACTATTATTATTACTACTACTATTATCATGACTATTGTTACTAAACTAATAGTATGATACTACTATTACTATACTGATCAAGGCGGTACTGTTGCCACCGGACCTTGGTGGTCGCCTGGCGCTGGCGCAAGCCGCACTGCAGCGCATGTCGGAGTCACCTGGCGGGTGTAGGATTGTGGGTTTGGGGTTTAGGGGCATAGCATCTGAGGGGCTGAGCAGGGACGCATACAATTTTTGAAATATATTTTTGGGGGGGCAGGCTGATGAGGGTACTCAGCCCCTATGGCAGAAGTCGCGGTGTATTTAGAGCAGTTTAAGGAAACAGGATTAGCAGCGCGCTGGAGAGAATGATAGGAGCACTGCATTATAAGTGACTGTGCTGGTAGTAGTACTAGTAACTTGCTAGTAGGGGTCGAAGATCTGCTGGTCAACAGGCTCTCCATGGAGGAAGCCACCACGCTTCTCACACAGGAGATGCAGCACTTTCCCGAACTGGTGGCTCAGTTGCTTTAGGGTTCAGGGTTTGCAGTGATGTAAGGTAAAAGGTACATGCTCTGATCGGTTGGTAGTTGTCCATTAATATTTGAACGCAGTACTCTATTTGTCTTCCTGTGGATGTGATTCGATCGGTCCAACATGTTCTCTGATTGCAGTAGTTATATCAGGGTTATGGGAGGGTTCTGCAAGCTAGTGTCTCGCTTAAGAATTTTTGTGGTGATCCGCCCTACGCCAACCTCCATCTACCTTCCGAGGGGTGGATGCTTGTGAACGATACCCAGTTTGTGCTGAAAGGAGCACTTGGTTTCTCCAAGTTTCCCGGGTTGAGGGATCCTGAGAATTATGATAACCCTTTCGTGCAGAAGCTCTCCAAAGTTGATAGCTCAAGGCGAACGTGACAGTTGTCGTCCAATCGTTGGAGAACAGCATCTTCGCCGATGACTCTGTCATCCCGGAACCGTCCTTTGGCTGCAGCAAGGACTGGACAATCGTCCTGAGGTCCTTGACAGAAGGCCTATATGTACCGTTCGTCTGCACGGCAGCCTGTTCGTGTTGATGTTCAAGGGCTGGTCGACCTTTGAGGTGGGACACACAAGAGTATCATTTTTGTCATCCTTATAATAGAGTCATGTAGCTCTACTGAGTCTGCTGGTCCATTAAGGCAGCTCGTGAGCCTGGAGACCTCAGATCCACCCTCCTGGCACTACACAACGACTACCACCGCTCCTAGTAGTTCGAAGGTTTCTAGACATCTCAGATGCTGCCTCTTTGTGGCTTCGACCTTCCCAAGCGGTTGCGAGCCGAGGTCACTGCATCGGAGAGCCGATAGAGATTTGGAACCTGCCGTATCAAACCGAAGGAGTGGTGCGAAATGAAGCAACGATAGCAACCAGAGTTTGAAAACGAGCCTATACTGCGTTAACGTCAAGCAGGAGGCATGCCGGACGAGGAGCGGCAACAGAAATCATCATCGTCGTCTTCATCGTCACCACCTTGATCACTACCATCAACGCCGTCATCATTCATTAGCACTGCAAGTAGCTCACCAACCAAGCAAGTCCTGCACGCGAAAGAATCGAAAACGGACACAGAATCAGAATCAGCAAAAAGGTAGCAGCAGCAGCAGCAGCAGCAGCAGGAGCAACAGCCACAGCAAGAGCATCACCACCACTGTCGTCATCATCAACAACAGAAAATTTGAAAACACCCACAACCACGGCGACAGGAACATCAACAGCAGCAGCACAGCAGCAGCAGCAGCAGCAGCAGCAGCAGCAGCAACCACGACAACGACGTCCCCGACCAACCGAATCGGCAACCAGCACGAACGCCACTGTCGCAACCAACATAAGTTGTTTTGCAGTACGGTCGCGACAATAGCAACATTGAGCCCACAACGTAATACATGGGGCTAAATAGTTACAGATATTAATACATACATATACACACACACACACATATATATATATATATATTACGCCAAGTCTTATTCTACTTAGCACTGTTAAAAAGCCCCACCAGTATGCTCGATCCCAGGGAGCCTGTTCGTCCGACGGGCCTGGATCCATTCATCATCGTGGCCATTGTGCTTTCATCGCTGTGCATCCTCGTGCTCTGCGCGATCGTGTCACCTGGCCACTGGGAAGTTTTCCCCTACAGGAAAATCAGCAGAGCCACGGTTTACGGTTTAGGGTTTCGGGTTTCAAAAATCTTATCAGAAGCCCAAAGTGCTAAGTGCTCAGGCAGGCGCATGAATTTCGTGATTCAGGGGCATCTCAAAGCCGAGCCCCTGAACCCTCACAGAGCAACCTCGCATCGGCACTGCGGGAGTTCAGGAGAGCTGTTTGGGTTGGAGGTTTCGACGTTACGGCTGGGCTGAAAGCTGGGCCTTGTTCAACCAGTATAGACTCAGAAGAATAATCCAAAAGCTCCCTGGCCAAAGCAGTTTTGAGTGGCGGGGTTTCGGAAAGGGTTCGAAATTGAAAAGGTTTTCAGATGCAAGCAATATGGACTCTTCCCGTAAACTGACTCTGAGAGCAGTACTTTCCCTGCAAGCCTGGTGTTTGGGATTCAGGATTGAGTGTGGGAATTAGTCTTTAGGACTTGTGGGGTGTCGATGTCTTTGTTTAGTGGTCTCCGGGCATGGGACTGATGTCGGTTGTTTACGGTGGCCCGTCGCCGCAAGCCGGTGCTCCCTAGTTTCCCGCGCTGCGGGTCTCGCATCGCTCTTGGGCTGCAGGGTGTCCTAAAAACGGCCTTGATGTGCCAAGCGAGGATCTTTCCCTGGAGCTCGAGCTCGTGTGGGTTTAGGGGATTTGTGCTTGGGCGATAAGTTCTGCTTCATATAGGAACCTGATAAAGAAACCGTGGGTCATTATTAGGGCTCTTACTATGAATCCTAAAAAATTGGGGTCAACGGTTCGTGGATTCTCAATCAGGTTCCTACAATACCCCGCAAACCCCAAACCTGTGATCCAGCTTCCGCCCAAGGTTCTGCAGGAACAAGTGCGGTCAAAAGACGCCACAGACGGACACCAGTAGGGCAGAGACGTCTGTGGTGCCTGGCCAGGACCAGAGTCGATAACAGCAGTGGGGTCTGTTAAGGGTTGCAGGTTTGGGTTTAGGGATTTAGGTTCAGAGGCTTTCGTTTGATCCTTTAGTAGCCACGAGTGCTGCTGGAGGGTTGACTTGCTGTCTTGTGGAGTTTCCCGGCTGGTTGCGAGAGTCCTGGACGCAAAAAGGTTCAGAGGCTTTGCTTTGAGCATCAGTTTCCCAGCAGAGGCAGTCGCAGGCTGGATGCACAACGGTCAAGGGTTTTAAAGCTTAGTGTCCAAGGTTTAGAAAGATGAGTTGGGATTCTGGGTTGCATAGTATGTAGGGTCGCATCTTAGGACGATTCGAAAAAATGCAGTACTTGAGTCGCTGCCGAAACCGGAGCCTGGGATTATGGAGTGTCAGCGTTGCAGGTGGCGATGCTTGCTCGGGGATCCTGGGGTCTGTAGCCAGCACTCTCAATGCATCTCAAGCCTTCCCAAGATAGAAGAGTATTCCTCAGAAAATAGCCTCCGGACGTGTTCAAGCACATGACTGTTATCATGGTCGTTCATTCACTCACTTTCGGTAGTCCTGCCTTCTCTGGACTAGCATGCGCTCAGTATCGTTTGGGCATCCTTGCAGAGAATCCATGTAGAACCCCAAACCCTCTGCGTTTCAATCAATTGGTTTTGGACCTCCAGGACAGCGCCCCGAAGGCTTGTGTGCGATGGGGGTTTCAGGTGTCGGGAGTTCTTCAAAGACAGGACCTGCTTGCAATGGAACCCTCCACCCAGGTTTTAACATCTCACAGAAACAAACCCTAGACCTTTGAGGCTACATTTCGAGGCCCTTCATGGCATTTCTCCCTGGGTGCACAACTGAACCCTCTGGTTCAAAACTCGCCTGCTTGAAAGAGATCGCCATTCACACTGTGATCATGATTTGTACCGTGGATCTGTCGATCTGGAATGTTTTGCATTCGAAGGATGGCAAGCAACGACCACTGATTGTAAATGCTGCAGCCATGCTAGTACTGAGTAGTGCCCTGTGCTGTTTCTGCAAACTGCCACTGCTGCCGCTGCTGCTTCTACTGCCGCTGCTTGCAAGCCGTTCTTGTTCCGTGGAGCGACCACTGGATCAGAATTGTTCCTGTCGTCGAGTCGTCGATGCAGTCTTCAGTGTAAGATGCCCTATTCGAACCCTAAAATCCGCAAGTTCCGAACGCCCCCAATGTTCCTGAAGCCAGGGCACGGACGATTTCGATGTGCAGGCGGGATACTATTTGCGAGGGCCCCGTGTTTTTCAGCAGTTCCCATCTGGTTTGCAGCTGAAACGCCACTCAACACTACGAGAGTTCGTGCCTTCCTCACGGTTCGGTGTTGTCCACGGCGCAAGAAGTTGACTAGGGCAGTCCTCTAAGTTAGGGTATCTTTTAGGGGCTCCACCATAGTACGACACACTCGTAAAAAGAAACTTAAACGGAAAATTAAATTTAGAGAACTACCCACTCGGCTGTCCGAAATCAAAACCGCAATGTCCAACCTCCTAAACCTTTATACTCGGGTTTAGGGTTTAGCGTTTGGGGTTTAGGGGTTTAGGGGTTGGGGTTTAGGGTTTGGGGTTTAGGGTTTGGGGTTTAGAGTTTAGGGGTTGGGCTTTAGGGGTTTGGGATTCACAGCTTTCTGGCTTTGGGTTTTTGCGGTGGCATGGTTTACCTTCGACATGAAGGTTCTCAGTTGCGAGGATTGAGATTGCGAACTTCCAGCAGCCTGAGGGTAATATTCGGAACTAATGCTGCAGGGGCCTTCATAATTTGAACAGGGTTCTTGGGGTTCCTTATCATAATTATAGTATGATATACCCCAGACCCTATTCAAATTATTAAGGCCCCTACATGAAGGGAATGCGCGGGAACGGGGAACCTGGAGCAAAATCCCCCAACCCTACAAGCATTACTTAGGTTCAGGCCCATGAACCTATACCGAAACCCTTTGAACCCAGACTCACAAACCCTTCAACACAAGTCTCAGCAAGGCCTAACCCTACACAACGGCCTTAAAACTTCCATCCTGTCAGGACATTCTTGCCGTTCGCGCCGAGACTCTCTGCCCCCGAACCCAACCACCCTGAGCCCGGAACCATCCTCCACCCCAAACCCTAAGCTAAGTGGGTGCAAAGCCCTACACCTTGAACCCCTGAACCCCTAAGCTCAGAAGCTCCAACAACACACCTCGCTAGTGGGCATAGATCCTCAGCCATGCGAGAGGGGAAAAGAAAAACCCCGAGCCCTAAACGCTGAACCCTAAACCCTACCTAAACCCAAGCTGGGACGTAACCTGCCATGCCTGCGTGAGCGAGTGTGTGAGTCGAAACCCCCCTGTCAGGACATTTTTGCTGGAAGCTAAACCCTAAACCCTGAACCCTAAACCCTCCCTGTCAGGACATTTTTGCTGGAAGCCAAGACTACGGGGGCGACCTGGAGTTTCAAATGGGCACTGGAGACCACGAGGTTGCAACTCCCACATGGGCTTTGTTTCTCGGTTTAGGGTTTAGGGCGTTGTTTCTCTAGGGGGGCTGCAGGGTTTAATGAGGGCTCGTAGGGTTTTCTCTAGGGGGGCTACAGGGTTTAATGAGGGCTCGTAGGGTTTAGGGTTAGGGGCCTGTAGAGGCAGAACAGAGATCTGGGCTTAACTGTCGTATTTGGAGACTGTAGTGTAAAGACGACATAGAGATTATGTGGGATATGATCGAACTAGTCTTCAGACCGGTATGTACCTTGTTTGGTAAGGAGCTCGCTCCTTGAAGGGTTTCTACATGCTTAGGGCTTAGGATTTCGGTTCAGCCCGGTTTTCGAACTTGCGCCCGAGAAAGGGCTACCGGTGTGGGGTCTGTGGTGCTTTTCGGATTTGCGGGAGGCTTGGATTTTCGGATTTTGGTTTCCGGTTGATGGGCCAAGGTTTAGGAGTCAGAAAGTAAGTTTTTTGGGGGGGAATTACAGAGATTCCGTGTGTTCATGCCTTCTGAACCTGAAACTCTTCCCTCTGAGTCCCAAACCCCATTCTCCCGTTTCCTGAAACCGACTAGCAGAGCAACATGACAAATGCAATCGGATACAAATAGACTCGTCCTCGAACCTCCCTTGCAGCCGCTGCACTTACTGGGTATGACGACCTTGAGACTGTATTTGTCCAAGGTTAATACGTCTGATATTCGCAGAAACTCACGGAGACCCCCAAACATGGGTGCAGGTGATGCTGGAATTTGATGCGAGGCCGGGGGAAAGAGACAGAGTGATGTATGCATGTAGGAGGCAAACCGAATTGATAGATGTATCCAGCTTGTCTTTCGGGATCCATGATTTGAGCTTTGGTTTCAGGATTCGGGGTTTTAGCAGTAAGTCATGAGAGCTGCAACCTCCGTATGCTCAAACATTCAGGCGATCGCACAAGCACTATCGCAAAAAAGCAGTAAGTGCCTGGACACTTGAGGGCTGCATTGCGCCGGGGTCAGCAGCAAAAGCTTGTTTCCAGCTCGTGCTGCTGCAGCTACTGCATCTTCTGCATACTACTACTACTACTACTACTACTACTACTACCACTACTACTACTACTACTACTACTACTACTCCTGCTACTCCTGCTACTACTACTACTACTACTACTAGCTTTGGAGGTGCACAGGTCACCGTGGCTCACCCATGCAGAGCGGAGCTCAACATGCAAGGACTTCCATAAGAATCCGCAGAAGTGAAGCCTGAAGTGGCAGACCTACCCGGAGAGCCCAATACCCCTTAGTTAAGGAATATACCTCAAATCAGAATAATAATTTAAAGCATATTCCGTAATTAAGGGGCAGGGGTATTGGGCTCTCCGGGTAGTTCGATCTATCCAAACGATCAGCGCTAGGGTTTAGGGTGCATCGGTTTTAGGGTTTGGGGGTCGCAGAGATGCTTGCAACAACTACCCACTCACCACCCAATCCCAATAAATCAAGTCACACCCCATCTGGATGTAGTTAAGTCCGTATTCATGGAAGGGACCCGCCTTTGTTCGGCGCGGCGGCGGCCATACCCACTTCCGCTTGCCGGGAGGCAGCGGGTTGATGTCACAATATGGAAAGCTTAGTAATGTTATCTCTCTCTCTCTCTCTCTCTCTCTCTTCTCTCTATGTTTGTATGATGTGCGGGTGTTTGAATCCAAACAAGAGTCTTGAGTTGGGATTCAGGCCAGATGAAAGTGGTAGGCTCTCCAGCTGGAAGCCGCATCTGCTTAGAGAAGTCACTTCAGGCCCCAGGGCGTTTATAATGTGCATGATGTTGGCCTACCCATCGGCTCCATAGCAGCTCCTTTTTGGGATTGCCTTATAGGATCCGAAACATAAACCACAAAAAGCAACTGCTTTGGAGCCTCTGGGTATCAGAGGCCTGAATGGCTAGCAATCTGTTCCTTAGGACTTTGTAGAGGCCGCAAAGCCCATAGCCTTTGGGGCGCGACTTCCCACAGCAACCACGTAAGAACCCCCGAGTGTTCGACACAGTTTTGGGGGACTGAACACAACACCCTAAACCCTGCGTTACTAAAAACGCCTACACTCTGGAAAAAGCAATCTCGAAAACTGCAGGCGATGCCCATTCAGCTCGCACCCTCAGCTCCACCCCCAAGCTCCACATTCTTCGCCTCCTGCTGCTGGGCCCAGAACAGGTGAAGGCATTTGCGGTATCCGCAGCGTTATCGCTTGTTTATCGCAGGTTTATCGAATCAGGCGCCTGGATTGTCCGAGTGTGAGCGCCGAAACCCTAAATCCCTAAAGCCCAAAACCCCTAAACCCTAAACCCCTAAAACCCCTAAATCCCTAAAGGCCCTAAAGCCCAAAAGGCCCTGAAGCCCAAAACCCCTAAACCCACTTAACCCAGAAGCCTCCCCTCGCTTCTCTGGCGCTCCTCCGAAGCTTCGTGGTTGGGTCTTAGACTTCTGGGGGGCCTCCACCGGTCAAACCTTGAAAGCATGT